GAAGGAAGGAAGGAAGGAAGGAAGGAAGGAAGGAAGGAAGGAAGGGAATTTTAGTAGATCAAGGGTGGAAAGGATTTCTGGCAGAAGATATTTTACTAGCAAGAAAAACTTAAGTGATACCTGCAATTTTACTTGGATTTGACCGCCTACCTTAAAATTTTCTCTTGGGAGAAAATGCCTTCATTGCCGTTTTTCTTGAGTAACACTCACAGACGTAAGCTTCTGCTGGAAACAAATAAACTAGTTTCAAAATGGTTTTCTATTCACATACACATGCATTCTTTGCAGCAGAGATGTGATGGGATTCCCTTGCCTTGGGACTGAGAATGGACATGACCAAAATATCACGAGCGAGAAACATCTCTGCGATATCCAATTTGCATCCTCTCCCCTCTTTACACCGCGAAGAGTTAGAAAGAAGATCAAAAGAATTAAAAGAGATTGAGACTTTGGAAAAAGGTTCAGAGGAGAGCAACTAAGATGATCAAAGGCCTGGAGACGAAAACCATATGAAGAACGGGTTTAGTTAGTCTAAAGAAGAAAGAAGGACTGGGGGGGGCATGATAGGAGTCTTCCTAACAGTGAGGACAATCAACCAGTGGAACAGAAGTTGCCTTCAGAAGTTGTAGGTGCCCCATCACTGGAGGTTTTCAAGAAGAGACTAAACAGTCACTTGTCTGAGATGGTATAGGTTCTCCTGCTTGAGCAGGGGGCTGGACTAGAAGACCTCCAAGGTCCCTTCCAGCTCTCTTCTATTCTAAATTCTAAAAGCAATCCAAAGTCTCCACCTGATTTGACTGCAAATTTAGTATCCTGTGACTATCACTAAGTGTCATATTTTATGATTCTTGATTAATGCATTTTTATGTACACTGAGACCTTATGCACCGAAGACAAATTTCTTGTGTGTCCAATAACACTTGGCCAATAAGGAATTCTATTCTATTCTATTCTATTCTATTCTATTCTATTCTATTCTATTCTATTCTAAATTCCTCTTCTACTTCTCTCATTCTATTCTATTCTATTCTATTCTATTCTATTCTATTCTAAATTCCTCTTCTACTTCTCTCATTCTATTCTATTCTATTCTATTCTATTCTATTCTATTCTATTCTATTCTATTCTAAATTCCTCTTCTCTTCTCTTCTCTCATTCTATTCTATTCTAAATTCCTCTTCTCTTCTACATCTCTTACTCTATTCTATTCTAAATTCCTCTTCTCTTCTCTCATTCTATTCTATTCTATTCTAAATTCCTCTTCTCTTCTACATCTCTTACTCTATTCTATTCTAAATTCCTCTTCTCTTCTCTTCTCTCATTCTATTCTATTCTATTCTATTCTAAATTCCTCTTCTCTTCTACATCTCTTACTCTATTCTATTCTAAATTCCTCTTCTCTTCTCTTCTCTCATTCTATTCTATTCTAAATTCCTCTTCTCTTCTACATCTCTTACTCTATTCTATTCTAAATTCCTCTTCTCTTCTCTCATTCTATTCTATTCTATTCTATTCTATTCTAAATTCCTCTTCTACGTCTCTCACTCTATTCTATTCTAAATTCCTCTTCTCTTCTCTCATTCTCTTCTCTTCTCTTCTCTTCTCTTCTCTTCTCTTCTCTTCTCTTCTCTTCTCTTCTCTTCTATTCTATTCTATTCTATTCTATTTTATTCTCGCCTTCCCTGATAAACATGGGCCAAAAAGCTCCATGATTCCGTAATCTAACCACCGTACTCGTTGCGTTGAACCTGCCAACTCCGAATCTGTGACGACCTGCCTTTGTTCTGGGGAGCGGCTGTAAGGGCCTTGACCTTAATCTTCCACATGTCCGTTTTCATTTGTAGGGACAAAGAATCCCATCACAAAAAGCCAGGCCAATTTCTATCTCTGGTCTGAATTGACTGGCCAAACAATCAGGTCGTTCTTTGATCACCCAGCCCTGAATCTCAACAGAGATGCCGTCAACAAATTTTGCTTTTTTCCTAGCAAAAAAAAAAGCTAGTTTCTCATAGCACATACTAATATCTGGCTAATTTCCACCTGACGAGCCAGCAATGGATGTGCGTTATAAATCAGAAAGTCGCTGATCCTTTAGGAATGGAGAACATATGTTGCAATCTGCTACAGAGGGAAGCATTAACAGATTTAAGCACAGTTTATTTTATTTTATTTTATTTTATTTTATTTTATTTTATTTTATTAGTTTATTTTATTTTATTTTATTTTATTTTAGTTTAGTTTAGTTTAGTTTAGTTTAGTTTAGTTTAGTTTAGTTTAGTTTAGTTTAGTTTAGTTTAGTTTAGTTTAGTTCAGTTTAGTTTAGTTCAGTTCAGTTTAGTTTAGTTTAGGTTTGTCACTGCACCTCGTACAACGAAATTAAATGACATCTTCGGTGTACATTCTAACTATAAAAATAAAAACACAAACACACATCCTTCACATTCTATACCCATGATGGCGAACCTGCGGCACGCGTGCCAGAAGTGGCACGCAGCACCCTCTCTGATGGCACGCGAGGAAGAGGAAATATTACTAAAAATTCTTAACTGCACAGAAATGAACAGACTTACCTTGGACTCAAGGATAAATGTGAAACACAGTACTATATAATCTGGAAAAAAAATTTACGAATGGCTAGGCAAAAGGAGGATAGCCGAGACAAGGGTGTAGTGTTGGATGAGAAATATATATATTATGATGGATACATATGTATGTAAATTGCATAAATAGGTACAGGTATAGATTAATTGACAAGTATGTATAATTGTGTAGAAATATGATATAGATTGTTAGTATGATGTTATGTATAAATTACGTATACGGTTAATGAATTATAATATTAACTTTAACATAATTTAAAATGTTGGAAGATATTTAGAACCAGCGATGTCATATCTATGTCCGATGTTTTTAATTTTGAATGATTAACAAAACCCTTTTTAAAAATAAAAAAAATTAAAAAAAAACAAATTTTGCTTTTTTCCTAGCCAAAATATATATATATATATATTACTATGTAGCACATAGTAATTAGTTTAGTTTAGTTTAGTTTAGTTTGTCACTGCACCTCGTACAACGAAATTAAATGACATCTTCGGTGTACATTATAACTATAAAAATAAAAACACACACACACATCCTTCACATTCTATACCCGTGATGGGTATAGAACCTGTGGCACGCATGCCAGAAATGGCACACAGCGCCTTCTCTGATACCCCAGTTCAGCTCCACCACTCATGCAAGCACGCCTCCCCCCAGCCAGCTGGTCTTCGGGTCTCTGCCTTACACGCGGGGGGGGGTGGGGGCAGGGGGGGGGGCCATGCACGCATGTGTGACGGGTGGGTGTAAGGGAGGCAGATGTGCATGCGGGGCGGGGCACATGCGAAGGAGCCACATGCATTGGGGCGGTGGGGTGCATGCGAGGGACCTGCATGCATGGAGGGGTGGGGCGCATGTGGGGGCCTTGCATGCATTGCATTTTGGGGGTTCGGGTGCACGCACAATTTGGGCAATCGGTCCGGAAAAGGTTAGCCATCACTGTTCTATACAATTGAATTGAAAACCCCTGATATTGCATTAATATTGCACTATATACAGTAGAATTCAATATAGTTACTGCTCTGGGGATAGAAGCTGTTTTTCAGCCTATTTGTCCTTGTTTTTATTGCCCTGTACCGTCTGCCAGATGGTAATAGTTCAAAAAAAAAAAAAAAGGGTGACCAGGATGAGATGGATCTTTAAGAATGTTTTGAGCTTTCTTATTTATTTATTTGTTTGTTTATTTGTTTATTTGTTTATTTGTTTGTTTGTTTGTTTGTTTATTTGTTTGTTTGTTTATTTATTTATTTATTTATTTATTAGCTCAATTTATATGCTGCCCTTCTCCGAAGACTCAGGGTGGCTTACAATGCACTTACAGCAATAGCCTTCATTCTTTTGTATATACCTGCTTATTAGGGCTTTCGGCCACCCCAAGCGGTGTTGTTCTATACAAAGTCAGCTTATTGCCCCCACAATCCGGGTCCTCATTTTACCTACCTCGGAAGGATGGAAGGCCGAGTCAACCTTGAGCCTGGTGAGATTTGAACTCGCACTAATTGCAGGAAGCTGGCAGCTAAGTGCTACATAACAGCACTTTAGTCCGCTGCACCACCAAGGCTCTTAAGGCAGCGGGGGCTATAAAGCTCTTCCAAAGAGGGGAGAGGGCAACTCAATGATCCTCTGGGCAATGACGTTGACCCTCTGGAGCGCTGTCCTATCTGCCACAAACCAGACACAGGAGCGGTAAGTTAAAATACTCTCTATGGTGCAACGGTAGAAGGTCACCAGCAATTTTCCATTCAGTTGTTGTTTCCTGAGAAGTCTCAGGTAGTATTATCTCTGCTGGGCCCTTTTGACTAGGACTGCAAAGTGAGTGCCCCAGGTTACATCCTCTTTTTATGATAACACCCCGAAACTTAAAACTGGGCACTTGCTCCGCTCGGTCTCCATTGATAATTCACAGCTGTGAATTGATTAAAATATCGATACCTGTTCAGCGCGGCCCTGCTAATGAGCAAAGGCATTAAAGGGGGGGGGGAAGGATATGATATGATATAATGAGCCTTTTCTTCCTCTCCCCGTCCACCTACCCACCCATATGTCAATCTCCCTCCTCTCTTTTGTCCCTGGCCATGAAGAATAGTTTGAATGACATCTGAAGTGTGGAAAAATGGAACCGGGGGAACTGGGTGTAAAAGCAAAGGGAGAGGCAGAAGCAGGAGTGGGATTCAAAAATTTTAGCAACCGGCTCTCTGCCCAGTTGCTGGGTGGGCGTGGCCATGGTGGGCATTGTCAGGGCATTTATTAATCCCATGTTTGGCTCTGGGACTAATTACCCTGGTTTAGAGGAGGAGATGAATCGAGGCTTATCCTTGTTTGCAATATTCCGAAAAGAAACGCGAAGGAAGGTTTCTAATAAAACTCATTTATTTGTTATAAAGAAAATAAAACACCTCACTAACTAAGAAAAGTTAATTGTTACATTTTTGAAAGTAATTCTTGCCGGCTATCTGAGCCGGACCTCTGGCAAGAGAACAAAGGAAAAGAGTGTGAGAAGCAAGTGAAGGAATGTGGGTGGATACGGAAACACGTAGCTTACTGATAAGAAGTTGGCAAAGCTACGGAGAGTCTGACAGTCCAGAAATAATGAAGCTCAGCTGGGAAATAAAATAACGCAGTGA